AACATAGTTATGCTCAACAAAGAGAAACTCCGATAAGAGGCCGCAACACAGCCTACGGAAGCACTGCCGAACGGCCTTGAGGCCATGAGCCCCAAACATAATGTTCATGGATAGAGGAAGATGATAAAAAGAAATGGAAATTAGCCAACGAAGGTACTTGGATAGACAAAATAACGCCACAGCACCCCCATTTATAGGGGGTAACAACACGGTCATTGAGGCATTGGAAGATTGACCGGCGAGCGCAATTACTTCATTTTTGAAGAGCCGAATCGACGGCGGAGTGTTAATCTTGGAGAACCGGAATCTACGATGCATTAAATGATGTCAAATATGTAAGTTCATGGGACATCCCGGTTGCCGCAAAAGCTCGCGCCACAGGTTGCATCATTGGTAATACGTCACCATAAGAAGCTCGTTGAGACACGTGGCAAAATCGTTTCCCATCACTTTATTGTGGGAAATGCGGCTATATGTATGCGGCAAAATAAGAGGACTCAATTTCTCGCTATCAAGACACTTCGAAAGAATACCTTGAGACCCCGAAGATGCGGAGTTGCGACCGCGTCCCCTACTCTGGGGCTCCTCGAGGCCCGACTCAAAGAATATGAAGGACGGGGCTAGAGCAGAAGTGGATGTTCCCAAGGCACACGACTAAGCCTGACACTGCCGGCCTATCCAGAGCCTATGCCGAAGCGTCACGTCTAGCCTTCCTATCTCCATACTTTACAACTAATGCATGTTGTACTATAACCGTGTTCCACTCCTATATAAAGGAAACCCACACTACTTTGTAAAGGGGTTGATGTTCCTCCAACTATTCTCCACAAGATAAATAATATATCTCTCTCTCTTTCTTCTATCTAACTTGCTCATCCTTACTAGCTCGAGGTTGCTCTTAGCATTATTAGTTTCATACTTGTTCTTCATTCATTACTTGGTATAGGCAATAAAGAGCTCTGTTTGATCATACCTTAATTGTTATCCCCTTCCCGACTACCCCCGATAGCTCGAGCTCGAGCCAGATATCAACCTCTAGGTCCTTCATCGAGTAGTCCAAGGCTCGGGCTGCAAGCATCTCGGTTCTATTGCTGCCCCGCTTTAGCTCGTATTTCTCCATTATACTTTATACTCTTATCATCTACCGCTCTAACAACTAGCATAAAAATAGATCACGTATTTTTAGAATCCCATTTACAAATTTAATTGTTTTTACCATTTTCACGGTAAACATTTATACATGTACATTGACCCATGACCAGATGGAGTTATATACATGTATTTATATGTATATATATGTATGTATATGGGACATGAAAAAAGGTTACGGCATTATATATGCAACACTACCTGATCAGTTGGTATATGTTGACAATGTTGCCCACAGTGGCCGAGATGATATGATGGGATGCCCATAGTGGCTTGATGATGTTATGTACACCTATACACATGCATGGCACAACATTTATATACACGTGCATAACAATATAAATGTTTCAGAATTTACAAAGCTATTCACATTTACAGATGGATTTCTTTAACCCATTTTCATCTATGCCTTTTATGTACAGATTTTCATGGCTTATATACTCAGTCCGCCGAAAGTAATGCAGAAAGAAATACAAAAAGATAAAGCTTCAAGTTTTCTCTTATTTAAATACGCAAAAGTCACATTTTCCATCTACAAACATACTCTAAAATATCAAATAAAAAATGGAAAAACGGAGAAATCTACGCTCCGCTCCAAAAGGCTACGACTACAGCCTGCCAGCCTCAGATTCGCTCTATGTGATGCCACCAAGAAGTGATCAAGCATCACGCTCGTCCACCCTTGCTCGAGCCAACTCTTTCGAGAGAACGAAGCCCCTAGCACCGATCTCCTCGGGTATCTCTCTTGGAGATCTGCAACGAACATATTCCTCGATCCTCTTCTCATGATTGAGGGCCCGCTTCAACTCGGCTTGGGCATCAGCAACATCCTTCATATGAATTGCCATCTCTTGATCAACCTTGGTTCGACTTAATGCTGCTTTAGGCCCGGCATCGATTATCTCAGTCCTGACCTTCGAGACATCGAACTCGAGCTTCACGATCATATCCGCTTGAACTGTAGCATTGTCATGAGGCAAGCAGAGTTGGGCCTCGAAGGTAGGAACCTTTGCCAAGGCCCCCCTGTAAGGTCCTGTGAAAAACTTGTACTCAAAACCTTGTAGTTCGGACCCTTTTTTGCACTGATCTATGCTATAAAAAGTCAAGAAATACTGTTTTCCAGAAAATGCGATTCGGCGGTCGAGATTAAATATGCGGTCCGATATGCGATTGCATAACATATATGCGGACCACATAGTCGTCGCATATATCCCTTGAGATTTTTGAGAGGGGCAGTTATGCGGTGCATTATGCGACCGCAGAACGGGTATGCGGATCGCATTTCTACCGCATACCCAGGCAGTGTGTTCAGATGTTGGGAGCACTTTTGCGGTCCACTCTACGGACCGCATTTCCACTCTGCGATCGTAGACCTGACTCGGGGCTCCAATTTTCTAAATTTTAAACCCGACTGCTTCTTCAATAAAACACCCCAACCCCTTATTTTAACCTATTTTCTGAACAAAACTTGAGAGAGGGAAGAGAGAATTCTTGAGAGAGAAAGTCTTATCTTCATCAATTTGATTCTTCAAAGTCACTCGGGCCGGGGAATTTCAAGTAATTGTCTTCATCTCCGTTCTTGAAGGTAAAATCCCCAACCCTTTTTCATTGTTTTTCAGATATAAACAAAAGGGGGATTCTCATGTGTTAATTCTTGAAAATGGAAGTTGAGATACACATGCATGTCCTTTAAAACCTATAATCTAGTAAGAGGAATTGGGTAGAACTAAAGATTTGCAAAAGAGGGGTTGGAAACCTAAGTAAGTTCGGGCTGAGTTTGTGAACTTTAATTCTAAGTTATATGTGCTAACTTATGAACTAGATTGACGGTACTAGGTTGTTGGTGAATTGAAAGTAGAAGTTAATAAGGGAATTTGACTCCAGGTATATATTGCTAACTTTAACCTTTTTAAAGTCACCTTGTTGGTGTACGAGTAATTTGTATGTGTTACTTATGTGGACTATTTGTGAAATTCTTGTGATTGATGTGCCTTGAACGTTGTTGGTTATGTTTTTCGTTATAGTGGTGTGAGTAAAAATGGCAATAACACAAGGGCGTGTGGGTATGAATGTGTTACGTGGTAAGAGCAGTGAAACCAACGATGGAAAGAAATCGTAATTGATACAATTGAAACAACTATGGCAATGTCATACGTGACTTGTTCTGGGCAATTATCGTTCTGACTTGAACTGTGAACGGGTTATTGTATATGTTGGAAATTGGTATTGATGTTTATGAACACTCTTTGGGAATTGTTGTTGTTGTTGTGTGAAATATGATTGTCCGGTGGGATCGGGTTGCACGCTGCAACACGAAGTAATAAGGTGTGGGTTGTGGTGATAAGGGTGGCCGAGGTAATAAGGGTGGAAAAGTGATCGAAATCACTATTGAAATAAAAATATGTGAAAGTTGTGAAACCATTGATGTGATGAAATAATGTTAAAAGGGGAAAAGGAGAAATTGTGGAGTTGTTTGGCTTTGGTTGTTCTTTTCATGTGCATTTGATTGTTGATTCTATTACTGTTTGTTATCGGTGTATTTCTTGATTTTACTTGGGGTAAAGTTTGTTTATAAATAGCAGTACAATTCAAATGTACTGACGTCCCTTTTGCCAGGGGCGCTACATTCGTGTTATGATTGTTGATGCTTCCATAACAGGTGCTCCAGCCCGCCGACAGTAGCACTCTTTCACCTCCCGTCAACAAAATTGGTGAGCCCCTTTCCTCTCGAGGCCCTGCGTGGCTCATGCCGCTTTCCTTCCCGGAAGTCTTATTTTGGTACTTGTGAAGGTATAGCCGGACCCTTGTTGCTGGTAATTCTACATTATTCTTCAGTTGTATTTAGAGGCTCCGTAGACAGGAAATGTGGGTTATGTACTTAGGTATTTTGGGCAGTATAACTTGTAAACCATGCTAAGTAACTATGTATGTTATGTAAATCTCGTAAGAATGTGTCTAAACTTATAAATGGCTATTTCACTTGGTTAATGGGTAATGGAAACGCAGGGTATCACGTGGAATAAGAAAGTCACCCAAGTCCGCTTGGCTGGGGGCTACCCGATCGAGCGGCGGTCGCGCCCCTCGCTTTTTGTGGCGTGACAAACCTTGTATCAGAGCCTAAGGTTTTAAAGTGTCCTAGGATGTCTCGGTGCCATGTCTAGTAGAGTCCTCCTTATCGGTGTGTTGTTGAACACATCTATAAGTTGGAGGCTACATGGGCATTTAGGAAATTACCTTCTTCTTTGTTACTCTATATCGTGCGGTGAAATGAAAAGTGGAAGTATTTACATCTAACTCGTGCTCTGTTCCAAGTGTTCAGTAATGGCACCTAAGAAGATAGCTAAACTAGGCCTCGGGGCCAATGTCACCCCAAGTGTGGCTGTGAATCATATACCTAATGTCGTGGGTGAGAGTGACTCCCCGGTCTCGAATCTGCCTGGACCATCTATTCCAGATCCAAGTATTCCCGTTCCAGCTGCGGTAGAGGGTGCTACCATCCCTACTGCTGATATTCTCGATCTTGATGCAATTCCAGCTTCCGGTCCCGGTGTTTTTTGATGGGGACATTTGAGGAGCCATCAATATGTTGACCTTGTTAGTGGCTGCTCAGGCCCAGAAATCTCACGATGCCCCTGCAACCCCCAGTGGACAGGGAGATTATGCCAGCTCCAGAGTCAACCAGTTTCTGCGGTTGGCCCATCCAAAGTTCACGGGCACAGACCCAGAGGTTGATCCGCATGATTTCCTTGATGAAATGTATAAAACACTTCGAGTGATGAAGGCTACAGAGATGGAAGGGGTTTGAGTTGGCTTCATACAGGTTGAGGGGAGCAGTGTATTCGTGGTTCGAGATGTGGGAGGATTACCGTGGGGAGGGAAGACCACCGACTAGATGGGATAAGTTTGTAGATGCATTCATGGACCACTTCTTGCCTGCCGAGACAATGGCGGCCCATGACACAGAGTTTGAGGTCCTAAAGCAGGGTATTATAAGTGTTTGGGAGTACCACATGGAGTTTGTGAGGTTGTCCAAGTATGCTCCTAAGTTAGTGTCGACCATAGATGCTCGAGTTCGGTGGTTCGTTCAATGTCGCAGTCCTTTGGTGGTGAATAAGGCTGCTATAGCGGCCTTACACTTAGATATGAATTATGGGAAGATTGTGTGGTTCGCTCAGGCCACAGAGGCTAGGAAGTTGAAAATACGGGCAGAAATGGAGAGTAGCAGTAGGGCCCGATCAGCGGGTCACTCAGGGAGACTAGTTTCGGGGAGAGGGCCATCAAGGCCGTCCAAGTCATATGCGCAGTCCTCAGCAAGCGCACCGCCATCTGTGCATAGTTATCAGCAGGGCAGTCACTTGAGAACAAGTTCGGACAGTAGGAGACCCTATCATTTTGGTCGTCCAGGAGGGAGATCACAGCAGCAGGGGAGGGCTTCATGTCCCAAGTGTGGGAGGTTCCATTCCGAGACTTGTTATTTGGATATTCCGTTGTGTTATAGATGCGGGGTGAGAGGTCATATCCAGCAGGACTGTCGTGCGCCCAGTCAGGGCATGAGTGGGGGATTTGCTCAGTCATCCGGTTCTTCAGCTTCCACATCATCCGTGTGTCCTCCAGACCTAGAAGGGCGCGGAGTAGTTAGGGGTGGAGCTCGTGGTAGAGGTATATCTAGCCTGTTTTACGCCTTGAGTGGTAGCCAGAGTGCAGAGGCCTCCCCAGATGTTGCTACAGGTATCTTGTCTGTTCAGACCATTGATTGTTATGCTCTTATTGATCCGGGGTCCTCTTTGTCTTATGTCACCCCATTCATTGCTTCAAGTTTTGGGGTAGAACCCGAACAGCTTCATGAGCCGTTCTCTATATCGACTACGGTTGGTGATTCTATTACATTCACGCAAGTTTATAGGAATTGCGTTGTCATGATATGTGGTTGTGCTACCACGACCGATCTTATTGAGCTTGAAATGGTGGATTTTGATGTGATTATGGGAATGGACTGGCTTTATTCGTGATTTGCTAAACTTGACTGCCGAACGAGAGTCATGAGGCTTGAGTTACCTAATGAGACGGTTATTGAGTGGAAAGGAAATGATGTGGTGCTGAAAGGTAGGTTTATTTCCTACCTTAAGGTTTCGAAGATGATTAGGAAGGGGTGTATCTACCATTTGGTCCGGGTGGCAGACACCACTTCAGAAGTGTCTGTCACCGAGTCCGTGCCAGTAGTGAATGAGTTTCTTGAAGTGTTTCCGGACAAGCTTCCAGGGATCCCGCCAGATAGGGAGGTTGATTTGGGGATTGATGTATTGCCATATACGCGGCCGATATCTATTCCACCATGCAGAATGGCGCCAACGGAGTTAAGGGAGTTAAAGGAACAGCTGAAGGATTTATTAGAAAAGGGGTTCATACGGCCAAGTGTGTCACCGTGGGGTGCCCCGGTTCTTTTTGTCAGAAAGAAGATGGGTCGCTCCGGATGTGTATTGATTATCGACAGCTTAACAAGGTCACCATCAAGAATAAATATCCTTTGCCTCGGATAGATGATTTGTTCGACCAATTGCAAGGTGCGAGGTTCTTTTCCAAAATTGATCTACGGTCCGGGTATTCACCAGTTGAAGATCAGAGAACAGGATATTCCTAAGACCGCTTTCAGAACTCGCTATGGTCACTTTGAATTCTTGGTTATGTCTTTTAGGCTAACCAACGCCCCGACAGCTTTCGTGGATCTTATGAATCGGGTCTTCAAGCCATTTCTAGACTCTTTTTTGATAGTTTTCATTGAGGACATCCTTGTTTATTCGCGGAGCAATGAGGATCATGCCGATCACCTCAGTGCAGTTTTGCAGACCCTTTATCAGCACAAGTTGTATGCTAAAATTTCAAAATGTGAATTTTGGTTAGAGTCCGTTACCTTTCTAGGCCATGTTTTTTCCAGTGAAGGGATTCAGGTGGATCCCCAGAAGATTGCGGTAGTAAAAGATTGGCCTAGACCCACGACCCCGACGGAGATCCGTAGCTTCTTGGGCTTAGCGGGGTACTATCGGAGGTTTGTGGAGGGATTCACTACCCTCGCCTCCCCTTTGACTAAGTTGACGCAGAAAGCAGTTAAGTTCCAATGGTCCGATGTTAGTGAGAAAAGTTTTCAGGAATTGAAGTCAAGATTGACTTTGGCGTCGATATTGGCCTTGCCGGAAGGCACAGAAGGATTTGTGGTTTATTGCAATGCCTCCAGGGCCAGTTTGGGGTGTGTGTTGATGCAACATGGGAAGGTTATAGCATATTCTTCGAGGCAACTCAAGAATCACGAGAAGAATTATCCGATGCATGATTTGGAGCTTGCGACAGTTGTATTTGCCTTGAAAATATGGCGGCATTATCTTTATGGGGTCCATATAGATGTGTTCTCGGCCCACAAGAGTCTCCAATATTTGTTCAAGCAGAAAGAGTTGAATTTAAGGCAGCGGCGGTGGTCAGAATTGATCAAGGATTATGATATAGATATTTTATACCATCCAGGGAAGGCGAATGTGGTGGCCAACGCTTTCAGTCGGAAGTCCATGGGTAGTTTGGCTCATTTGGGAGCGGATCAGAGGCCTTTGGCTCGGGAGTATTATCAATTGGCCAGTCTGGGGGTTCGTATTTCGACTTGTTGTGGGCAATTATCGTTGTGGCTTGAATTGTGAACGGGTTATTGTATATGTTGGAAATTGGTATTGATGTTTATGAACACTCTTTGTGAATTGTTGTTGTTGTTGTTGTATGAAATATGATTGTCCAATGGGATCGGGTTGCGCGCCGCAACACGAAGTAATAAGGTTTGGGTTGTGGTGATAAGGGTGGCCGAGGTAATAAGGGCGGCCGAGGTAATAAGGGTGGAAAAGTGATCGAAATCACTACTGAAATAAAAATATATGAAAGTTGTGAAACCATTGATGTGATGAAATAAAGTTGAAAGGGGAAAAGGAGAAATTGTGGAGTTGTTTGGCTTTGGTTGTTCCTTTCATGTGCATTTGATTGTTGTTTCTATTACTGTTTGTTATCTGTGTATTTCTTGATTTTACTTGGGGTAAAGTTTGTTTATACATACCAATACAATTTAAATGTACTGACGTCCCTTTTGTCGGGGGCGCTACATTCGTGTTATGATTGTAGGTGGTTCCATAACAGGTGCTCCAGCCCACCGACAGTAGCAGTCCTTCACCTCCCATCAACTGAATTGGTGAGCCCCTTTCCTCTCGGGGCCCTGCGTGGGTCATGCCGCTTTCCTTCCCGGAAGTCTAATTTTTATATTTGTGTAAGGTATAGTCGGTGCCTTGTTGCCGACATTTCCGCATTATTCTTCAGTTGTATTTAGAGGCTCCGTAGACAGGAAACGTGGGTTATGTACTTATGTATTTTGGGCAGTATAACTTCTAAACCACGTTAAGTAACTCTGTATGTTATGTAAATTTCGTAAGAATGTGTCTAAACTTATAAATGGATATTTCATTTGGTTAATGGGTAATGGAAACGCAGGGTATCACGTGGAATACGAAAGGCACCCAGGTCCGCTTGGCTGGGAGATACCCAGTCAAGTGCCGGTCGCGCCCCTCGATTTTTGGGGCATGACAGCCCATCTCCTCCAAAGCTTGAGCCTGCACCTGAGCCCTCAGTTCACCGCAAGCATTCTCGACGTGGTCAGCTTCGCCCGTAATTTACTCCAAAGCCTCCATCTTTTTCTACACCTGAGATAGGCAAAAGGATTAACCTTAAGGGTCAAAAAGAGTGAAGCGCGTACTACGAATGGTTACCTGCTCAATCAAATAGCTCTGGTAATTCGAGCTCCGATACGCCTCATATCGCCAGTGCATCAACTCAATCTCATTCTCCTCGCCAAGGAACCTAATAGACTCACCCTCATCCAGAGCTTTCCGAAGCCTGGCCCCATGACTGAGCAGCTAAAACCTAAGCCTATCAAAGGCCTGCAAAAGAAAAACTCGATAAAGAAAGGAAGACGCAAAATACAGAAGGACTACGCCGAAACTCACCGTGATATGAAGCTGGCACACTTCCTCAAAGGCGGAGCACACTCCTGTTGGTCCTGCACCTTCGGCCCTGGAAGAACCAACCTCGGGCAAAGCATATTCACTCAGAGGAATCACCGTTCTGGAATCGGATGCTCCGAGAATAGCAGGCTCGGGCGATGTCCTGTCCTCGAAGACACGGGCCTATTGAGCCCCATTAAAATCTCCACCACACTGCGGGAGCAAATCCCGTCTATCACCATCGTCCTTTAGCTCGAAGGATGACGACTCTTCCCCTCTCCGGAAGAGCATTGCCTTGCCTCAAGGAACCGCCTGATGGCTACAACGGCATAGCCGATACATAAGAAAGAGGAAAATGTCATTAAATATATGAAGACCAAGGCAGGAGTAGTGTACGCGCATACCCTAGTATTTTGCTTCCCATCTATCACAGGACACAGCTCGCCACCTACACTCATCGCAAGTCTAATGGGTCGCTAACTTCCGAACCCAGCCGGGCAGATCGAGAATTTTGCTCGGCATCCATGAAGTTGCTACAAAAAGGAAGGAGACATAATTACTAAACTGGTTTTCACTATAAGCAAATCTAAGGAAGCACGAGGCACTTCACTCACGCGCGTAATTCCATCCCTCGGGAAAGGGCATGAGCTCCATGAGGATAATGTTAGCTGTCTGGACCCGGACGAATCGACTGACCCACTCTTGATCCCCATCTTCTTCATCATCGACAACAAGGGGCATGGACGAGTAGAACCGCAAGGTTAACATGCCTTAGTGATGAAAGGGCCGGTACAGCCTGACGAGGTGGCTGAGCATGAATTCAAGCCCATCCTTCTCCACAAAGAACCTCATTATTAGCACCACTCGCTAGAATGACGAATGTATCAATGCCAAAGTAACTCGATATTTCAATCAGAAATCAAGCACAACCCTATAAATGGGGCAAAATGCAAAAGATATATGTATACATTCAACAATGCATTAGTAGAGTCCGTAATACTCTCATTCAGGGAAAGCACTTGCAGCCTTATCCCCTTGCTCCATCCGCAGTATCTCTTCACCATCTCCAGATGTTCCTCTCTTATCAAAGACACAGTCTTCATAGTGAACTCCCGTGGATCCCGAACGCTGGGAGTGGAACTCTCCCCTCCCTGCCTGGTCGGACCCTAAGTATCTGCCATGGCTATAGTAGAATTGACAGACTAAAGCAAGTACGTGCGCCAACGCTTTTTGCACCTGAAGATACGAAAGACCCGATATCAAGGCGGAAGGATAGTTATCCAAAATAATGAGATCTTCAAAAGAAGCAAAACTAACCTAAAATATATGTGAGAAACAACAACGATTCGCCTATCCAGAGAAAGCTTCAAGAGGCCAACAACCTCGGTAGAGATCCCGGGGTGGTACTCGACCCCAGAGGCATCCATTGGGCAAGAAGTTAGGCCTCAAGGAGTCAACTGTATCAGCTGTGGTCACGAGGTAGTTCCTGACCTAGAGGATCTCTGCCAAAAAAAGAAGTCAGGCATCGGGAAACCTTCAATGCCATCATAGAACTCAAGGCGGTACCCGATCTCATGGTTTTTCTTTCTAAAACGAAGAGTAAGCACGCGAAGATACGATCATGAAAGCTATAGGAGGGCTCGAGGCATTGCCTGAGCATTAGCAATTCCTCAACGGAAGTCTATCCACTACGCTTTAAAAGGCTATTTGCATCAAGTTCAAGGCAGACCTTTGCTCAGAATACCACTCTCGAAAGCTCCAAAACTCAGCGTACTATCTCCATGCAACTCGGAGGGCCCGACAGCCCGAGCCTATCAGATCAATTCAGTCTTGGTCCGAGGTACGACAATGGGCTCGGAAAGGATCCATGTCAATTGGCAGAGGATTGAAAAGAACGCTCACATCCGAGTTAGATATCAACGGTCAACAACAAAGGAAAACATTCAAAGACCTCGAAGGGCATGAGAACATACAATAATAGGGCAAGAATCGAAAATAGAAATCAAGGAAGTATCTTCATATTCATAAATATCCATGTACAACAGCCCTCGAGGGGTTCTTACATACAATTACAAAAACTCGCAAGCGGGTCCTATGCATAAAGAAAGAAACAAATGGGTGCACACGCGAGATAAAATCCTATAGATTGGTCTACCTCCGAATGTCCGCCTCCTACAACAGGTGCCTCCGGGCACACATCCTCAAAAGCCTCATCCCGGACATCCACATTGATATCCCTAAAGTATAAGGCGAGCAGCAGAGAGGGATGAAAAAACATTACAGCTCTCCAGGGGTCGAGGACCATCGCTAGCTTAGAGAACCTCGGAGAGACAACGGACCGAGCGATCCTCGATCCTGCTTGCACGGATACTCAGAGTCTACTTCTTGGGACGTCTAGCCGTGCAAGCTACCAGCTCGGGGCAGAGCAGCACATCGAGCCAGGGTATGAAGGTGAGCAGCGGTGTACAATCCGAGCCCATTTTTGAGTAGCGGTATATAATCCGAAGAGCTTGTTACGAGCAAGGAAAGTTGACCACCGTATGTTATCATCTCGAGCAAACAAGGGCAGCAATAGCAGGCGTAATAGCAAACACAGCAGCAACAGGATAGCATGGTTATGCTCAACATAGAGAAGCTCCAGCAAGTGGCCGCAACACAGCCTACGGGAGGTCTGCCGAACGGCCTTGACGCCATGAGCCCCAAACATAATGTTCATGGATAGAGGAAGATGATAAAAAGAAATGGAAATGAGCCAATGAAGGTACTTGGATAGAAAAAGTAATGCCACAACACCCCCATTTATAGGGGGTAACGAGACGGTCATTGAGGAATTGGAAGATTGACCGGCGGGCGTAATTACTTCGTTTTTGAAGAGCCAAATCGACGGCACAGCGTTCATATTGGAGAACCGAAATCTACGATGCATTAAATGATGTCAAATACGCAAGTACATGGGATATCCCGGTTGCCGCAAAAGCTCGAGCCACAGGTTGCATCATTGGTATTACGTCATCGTAAGAAGCTCATTGAGACACGTGTCAGAATCGTTTTCCATCACTTCATTCTAGGAAATGCGGAGACTATATGTATGCAGCGAAATAAAAGGACTCAATTTCTCTCTATCAAGCCACTTCGAAAGAATACCTCGAGACCCCGAGGACGTGGAGTTGCGACCGAGTCCCCTCCCCCGGGGCTCGTCGAGGACTGACTCAAAGAATATGAAGGTCGAGGCTAGAGAAGAAGGGGATGTTCCTAAGGCACACGGCTAAGCCTGACACAGCCGGCCTATCCAGAGCCTATGCCGAAGAATCACGTCCAATCGTCCCATCTCCATACTTTACAACTAATGCATGTTGTACTATAACAGTGTTCCCCTCATATATAAAGGAAACCCACACTACTTTGTAAAAGGGTTGATGTTGCTCCAACTATTCAACACAAGATCAATAATATATCTCTCTCTCTTTCTTCTCTCTGACTTGCTCATCCTTACTAGCTCGAGGTTGCTCTTCGCATTATTAGTTTCATACTTGTTCTTCATTCATTACTTGGTATAGGCAATAAAGAACTCTGTTTGATCATACCTTAACTGTTATCCCCTTCCTGACTACCCCCGATAGCTCGAGCTCGAGCAAGCTATCGACCTCGAGGTCCTTCATCGAGTAGTCCGAGGCTCGGGTTGCAAGTATCTCGGTTCTATTACTGCCCTACTTTAGCTCGTATTTCTCCATTATACTTCATACTCTAAGCATCTACCGCTCTAACAACTAGCATAAAAATAGATCACGTATTTTTAGAATCCCATTTACAAATTTAATTGTCGTTACCATTTTCACGGTAAACATTTATACATGTACATTGACCCATGATCGGATGGCGTTATTTACACGTATCTATATGTATATATATGTATGTATATGGGATATGAAAAAAAGGTTACGACGTTATATATGCAACACCATCTGATCAGCTTGTATATGTTGATGATGTTGCCCACAATGGCCGAAATGATATGATGGGATGCCCATAGTGGCTTGATGATGTTATGTACACCTATACACATACATGTCACAACATTTATATACACGTGCATAACACTATAAATGTTTTAAAATTTACAAAGTTATTCACATTTACAGATGGATTTCTTTAACCCATGTTTCATTTATGCCTTTTATGTACATATTTTCATGGCTTATATACTCAGTCCGCCGAAAGCAATGCAGAAAGAAATTCAAAAATATAAAGCTTCAAGTTTTCTCTAATTTACATACGCAAAAGGCGCACTCTCCATCTACAAACGTGCTCTAAAATATCAAATACAAAATGGAAAAACGTAGAAATCTACGCTCCACTCCAAAAGGCTACAGCCTGCCAGCCCCAGATTCGCTCTCCGTGACATCAGCAGGAAGTGATCAAGCATCACGCTCGTCCGCCCATGCTCGAGCCAAGTCTTTCGAGAGAACGAAGCCCCTAGCACCGATCTCCTCGAGTACCACTCTTCGAGATCTGCAACGAACATATTCCTCGATCCTATTATCATGATAGAGGGCGCGTTTCAACTCGTCTTGGGCATCAGCAGCATCCTTCATATGAATTGCCATCTCTTGATCAACCTTGGTTTGACTTAATGCTGCTTCAGGCCCTGCATCGATTATCTCAGCCCTGA